AAAAAGGTATTCATGGTGTGCATATGATCTATAAGCTTTTTGTCAGCGTGCGAGGCCTTAGAGCTAGCCTCCATTGTTTTAACATCACGGACGGCACGTATGCCACCCATATGCTGCACACTTGTTTTTATTTGGCCCAATCACTCTGAAATTTCTCAAACTCCCTGACCGGTCAGTGAGTTTGCAAATTCCCTAGTGAATTTGTAAACTCCCTAGTGAGTTTGCAAACTCACTGATGGGTCAGGGAGTTTGCAAACTCACTAGGGAGTTTGCAAACTCACGGATTTCTCAAACTCCCTGTAACAGCTGTACCGTTGCCTCCCGCGCAATGTCCGCCCCTGTGGACCGCAGGGGCTGCTGCACCGGTGCTAATCGCGGTCATCGGTTTCTGTCACCTTATTACAGAGGTGCCGGGGCTGCTGCCGAGCTGCCGGCAAATGTACGAATTTTTTCGGAAAGATGTTTATGTAATGAGGTAGCCAAGTACTAGGACGAGCAGAATGATTTTGAAAAACGTTCAACCTTTGGGAAATATTAGTGGAAATCCCGGGATTATCAGAACCTTATGGGGATACCCAATCATGCCTTGTACGGTTGTGCCCCATGGCAAAGCTGCAATCTTTCACCCGGTTCAGTGGTTGAGCACCCCCAACCATTTTGAAAAATCGACACCCCTGGTAGATAGAAATTACCTCGGTTCTCAACGCCTAAGTTATTTTTATGAAAAAGAACAAAAAAAAAATTATTAATAAGATTAGAGAAATGTTAAAATTTTAATTGTAAATTAGGCCAAAGGCGTATTGGAAAGGCTTTGCCCTTCAGCATCTTCCGATTCATCATGTTTTTCATTTTAAAATTCGAGGTTCACAAAATATTAACCACGCGCTCAATGTTAAATGGGAACAGTACACGGCAGACGCATCAATATTTGACACTGAACCTTTCATTCGTGAATGCTTTAGCATAATTTAAAGCTAAAAACAGCGCGAATGGCAGAGTGAAACAAACAACCTCTTTCACATATAGAAATAACATGTAATCGGTGGTGCGCCAGATGCGCCGTTATTTGTCAACCGCAGAAGGTGACATGTGACGTAACAGCATCAAGAGCGTCTTTTTCAAGAACTTTAAAAAACATGTTTTCTATCTGTCTTCCCCCATTTCTCTCAGCATAATGATTTTATGAGGAAATTGTATGCACCATAAATTCTGCGAAAATAGTTTGATCATTTTTATACATTCTTAAAAAATCGAGTTCCCAACCCCATTAGTGCCAATTGCTTGTCTGATGATGCCCTGTGGGCGAAAATTCACATAAATACATCATTTTCGAGATTTAAACTTTCTATATTCGAGGAAAAGGTCATTCATTTTGAGTTATTATAACAATATGTTCCTCGCAAGAGCACTCAACACCATATCTTCAATAAATATGGCAGTTAGAAGTCTGCTAAGGGTAAGATGTCGCCGGCTGAAGCGGGATCGGCCGACGCGGGAAACGCGGCAATCACAATTTTGTGTTTACACACTCATAACTCAAGTTGTTACCGGCCGATTTTCAAAATTCTTTGACCATATGATTGCCTGTACATTTCTCAGTCTTCTCACCGAATTTGACGCGAATCTAATATAATCAGCGGTAAGGAGCGCGATGTAAGGACGGAACCGTCCCGCCCCGGCACAGTCTACAATTCAGGCGGCGCGTAACGGCTAGCGCCGGCCGCCGCGCCGCCGCGGCGGCAGGATGTTTGACTTTACACCGCTATTACTAGAAAAGTTGTGAACCGATTTTCTTACTTCTTGCACGAGAAGATCCGAAATTCAATTCTGGACAGGTAGCCGAAATTTCACATTGATATTATGCTTGCGGCGCGAGTTATTGGCGAAAAACAGGAGGGGTGGGCGAAATCCGCCCCCCTTCCACTGCGCGTGTTAACCCGCGCCCTGCTGGGGCATGTTTGAACACCCCCCTTGTGGTTTTTTGTTACACCTTATCATGCATCAATTCTACACATGTTGTGAAAATTGCAGACCAAGGTCAGGTCACCAGGTCACTTGAAGTGACCTCACCTCATAAAAAGTTTCAATGTCTGTCATAGCTACACCGATTGACCGATCGCTTTGAAACTCTCAGCGATTGCTGAGAGCAATAGCATGTACAAAATGTATATCTCAGAATTTCGATATCGATGACCTAAGGTCAGGTCAATTTTGCGACCTCCCCATTGGGAGCTGAACACATCTAAGGCGTTTTCATCGCTCTAGCGGAGTCTATGGGAGAAAATTGAAATGCGCCTCTTTTGGACGAAAGACATTATAAACACTCCCAAACACCGAATTACAAGTGTTTTAGACACACTAAACATGAAAATGGTGTCCGTGACCCTTGTTTATGCCCTGAGGTCATCTTAGGTCACGAATGGTATCTAACAGTTTTCGCAGATAACTTTTGATAGAGGCATGCTAGAGCGATGAAAACGCCTTAGATGTGTTCAGCTCGACGATACAGATCGACTGATATGCGACATGACCCTTTCCGGTCAGGTCATGACCTTGACCTGAGGTCAAATTTTCAAGTTGACATTTCAAGGTCAAGTTATAGTTCATTCGATGCGTATTGACGAGAGGAACACGATGCCGGTAAAAGTAAGCTCGTACAGGGCTTGGGTCAAAAGTTATTGCAGAAAAATTGTTTCAGAAAAAAAATCGGCTATTTTTGCAGTTTTTGCCCCCTGCAGGCAAAACCGTTGACGTTAAGTCAAATCCGAGAGAATTATTCAGAAAGGGCGTTAATAGGGCTATCGAATGCGCTTTTCCGCGGCGCTGTAGCTCTATTGGTTCCTGAGTTATGCGTTGGCTTCTTGAAAATTTTCGACATTAGACCTGGAAATCGGCGAAATTTTGCCTTCAATGACCTCTGGTGACCTGACCTTTGACCTGACCAAAAAATTGACCGAAGTGATTTCGTCATTATTTTTGACGCTCTTTCGAACGCCGCCTTCCGCGTATCGCTACGTGGCCCAGGAGCCGAGTTACAAGGGGGTGTGTGTTCAAACACCCCCCCCCCCCCCAGCAGGGCGTGGAAATCCAGGACCCCCAGCCGGGCGCGGGTTAATGAAAACACGCGCACTATATCCCTGCGCACAAGGGTTCAGCGGCCCGCCGCTCCAACGCGCAGTTCGGCTCCTAGAGCCGCCGGTTTTTTCGGGAAACGAGCACGAAGGATATATTAAACGGGTCGGAAGAAGGACAAGCTGCAGGAAAGGATAGGATATAGGACGGGCGCCATGTACAGCAAAAAAAGTTATCATATTTCAGGCACGAAAGTGTGATATTTTTTAGAAAAATGATGTCGGCTTCCGTTGAAACTCCAAGTTTTTGCTTTCCGATCGTAATTTCGAATAATATATGACATACTAAAACCCTGGGCATCTTTCCCCACTCTCCCCTAATTTATGCTACACATTTGTGTTGTTGGACAGGCACTACATAGATTGGGCTACTTACTTCTCCAATGTTTACAAATATGCTTATTAATGCTTAACATAATAATGGAGTGCATTGGCTAAAATCTGAGCTCGTGAATGTATCATTATTGGATTCATCCCATTTCATCCATGGCCTTCCTAATTCATTTCATTGAACCATTGATTTCAAAACAATAGCTTGCAGATGTGGATGCAGAGACGATACACTCACATTGGTTCGATCGCCCGCTGCATATATCCTTAAGACCCCTAACGAGTTGCCTGCTTTCCCCTTCCTACTCAGCTCCGTTCTCCGGGTCAGACCCTGCTCTAGCTCCTGCCGCCCAGCCAGCACCGTCCTCCGGGTCAGACCCTGCTCTAGCTCCTGCCGCCCAGCCGGCACCGTCCTCCGGGTCAGGCCCTGCTCCGGCTCCTGCCGCCCAGCCAGCACCGTCCTCCGGGTCAGGCCCTGCTCCGGCTCCTGCCGCCCAGCCGGCACCGTCCTCCGGGTCAGACCCTGCTCTGGTTCCTGCCGCCCAGCCGGCATTATCCTCAGGGTCAGGTCCTGCTCCGGCTCCTGCCATCGGTTCAGGCGTGTCACCTAAAGGCTTCGGGTACTTGATCAATGGGAAGCCCACTGACGCTCAAAAGTTCGCTAGCCTTACGGATAGATGGCGCCCTTGCGAAAGAATGGACTTTCCAGCTTCCTATCGCACTAAAAAAGAGAGGGGTAAAAACGTCACTCGCCCCCATCGCATAACGCCTGATCATCTTGACAGCTTTCCCTGGCTGGCGATCTCGAGCATGGGAGAAAACACGGGCGCATGGTGTACTGTAGTGTGTGTGTGTGTGCTGTTTGGTGGTTCCAAAGAAGCCGACGGTACGCAAACCAAGGGCGGTCAGAACCTTGGTAGGCTCGTGAACAGGCCTCTCACGGACTTCTCCGACTTGACCGGACGGAGCGGTGTACTCGAACAGCATGCCCGACACCCGTATCACTTGACCAACTTGACCAGGGCAGTGGAGTTCAAGCAGAGGTACCAGCGACCAGAGCACGACGTGTCCGAGCAAGTGGAGACTGCGAGTCAGCGTGAAGTGGAGAAGACTCGTCGTGTTCTGACATCTATTGTTGACACCATCAAGCTCGCAGCTGTGCAGAATATCTATTTGAGTCACCTAGAGGGTGTACAGCCCCCTGTGACATACCGTCTGCCCTGTAGGCGAGGTTAATTGAACCCACTCAAAACCCACTACACGATGTGCGGACACAGAGACGGACTCACAGACGGACTTTGTTCCTTTAGTAGCTTAGACAAGATTTTACTTATTCGCTGTCGCTCGTGATTAGCCATAAAATTTGGGATCGATTCGTGCTTGTCCCGTGTTGATCGGACGTCTAGAAGCTTAGATATTCGCGAAAAACTTGTTGAACTTGCCAAAATACCTGCCAGCTTGCTGTATCACCTGCTACTTGATGACGGGCCCGGAGAGTGAGAGTGAGAGTGACCCTGGTCCGGATGCCTCTCTTTGCAGATGTGAAAAAGGTTATCATCGGCCAGGCGGCCGGCGGCCTGTTTTTCTTTGTGTTTGGCGGCCAGCCTCTGATGGTGTTGCTCACGACGGCGCCGCTCGCTATCTACATCAAAAGTGAGTGGACCAAGGCTCTATATACCAGGTAGGTTCATTAGGGATTTTTTTTTACGTTCCCCCTACCGGCCCCGGATGACGTCACTGGGATGCTCCCGCCGCGGCCGGCCTATGTATAGAGCATTACTACGGGCTTTCCGGTGGCATTTTTTCGTGTTATAACGCCCAAAAAGCTTTAAAAAAAACTTTTCGCACGAGAAATTGAAAATATGTCGCATTTTAAAGTGAGTAATAGTGATAAAAGGTCACGTTCAGGAAGAGCGGGCCGAAACCAGCGAGGCTTGTATGGGTCCCAGGGCGCAGGGCTATGGAGTCGGGACCGGACTTTTGAATCGGATTGTCGGAGTCGAACTGGAGCCGTAATCGGAGTCGGAGTCGATTTTGGAAGTCGGAGCAGGAGTCAGAGTCGAAGTCACCAAAAATTCATCGGTTCCGCAGATTGCGGAGCTGCAGGGCTGCGAAGTCTGAGCCGGAATTGGTCAGAATAGACAGTTCTGCCCGGACCGGAGTAGGAGTCGGAATTAGTTTTTGGAACTAGGAGTCGGGAGTCACCGAAATTACATCGACTCCGCTGCCCTCCTAGTGCGCTCAGGACGGATGCACTTAAATTGCATTGCTGAAAAAAATCGAATAAACATTGCCACTAAATATTATAAGTTTCACTTAAAGGGACCCTCCCACCTTCAAAAAAGTTAATGAATTGGCACGAAAGTGATGTCGCTCGGTTCAGAAAGAGCGAAAACGAATATCTACCAAATTTCATCGAAAAATATTCACCGGTTTTCAAGATATTAGACTTTTACTTTTGTTTACTTTTTGGGATCTCCGCTGTTCCTAGCGACTTTATTTGAAAGTGCGGCATTTGTTGCGCGCAAAGCAGCATATACCACCGCGTGCTACCAAACGTTTTAGTAAAAGATTTAAAAATCGTTAGATCTCCGCTGACGTCACAAATTCTAAGGGGGCATACCAATGCACTAGCCCCTTAGAATCCGAAAACTGCAAGTTTGAAATTCCATATCTCCGAATTAAAGCATTTGTCGATGTTGTGAGTGCCGAAACCGGTATTTATCCGTCGCCGCCCTCGCGCTTGCAAAAAACATTGTCATAGTGTGTAACGGGGCTGTATTTTGTCCGTTTTTTGGAGAGGTGGAACAGCCCAGTACAGAGAGCACACAGCATTAGCACCGCCTAAAGCAAGATAAACGAACAAGGCACAGGAGGCGTTGGGGTGGCGGCGGGCGAACAACGACTTTTTTGCTGGCTCTGCGTCGCCTGTCGCTGCGTCAACTGCGGGTGCGGCGGCGCCGCCGCGCCGGCTCAGCCGCCGCAGGTTGACAAGCGCTTAAGTTGGCGACGACCGATAAAAGTCTTTATACGCCGTTGGCGCATAAATTGCCATTTATCCGTCGCCGCCCTCGCGCTTGCAAAGGGGCACTAGCGAAGGAAATACTTTGAGAAATGCAGTGAGGGCGGTACGACACTAGGAACTCGTGGGAGCATCGTAAACCGACATACTATGCCAAAAGCAGAGTGAATAAAAGCACATTATCATGTGAGGTGGACAGATGCAGGGTGGTCATTTGGAATAGATGTAAAGGCAATTGGAAACATCAGCCATGTTGGAAGCGAACAGGGCAAAAGCAAAACCAAACGCACCTATCGAACCACACGGTGTGACATTGTATCTGTATCGCAGTCAGTCCTCAGCGTCAAAAGCCGGCTAAGAGGAGATGCCCAAAGTATACACCTTCGCGGACCGCCGACCAGCTGAGCTGGATCATGCTCACGGGCCACACCAAAGACAGTAACGCGCACGGCGGAAGCGGCAGCCAGAAACAGTTGTTATATCGTACCAACGATAGGGGCCGGACCGACCACCCACGGCGTGATACTTATGAGCTAGCTGACCGCAGCCCCGCCGGTACAAGCTGTTAGGAAGCCTTTACGCAAGAAGCCGATCGTGGTGTGAGAGAAGCTGACCGAGCTCGACCGGCAACACCTATTAGTGAATATGTGTCCGGAATTCGTAACTCGCCGCTAGAATTATTTTCGGTCGCAGTAAAGTTGACAATGTCTCCAACTTGCAAAAAAAAAAAAAAAAAAAAAAAAAAAAGAACAAAACTCGGGTGGTTGTCCCCGCGCGGTATGTCCGAATTCCACACCCTTGTCCTCACATAGGTACAAAGTCCTACAGCGCCGAGAACCCGAGCAACTAGCAATCCTGTTCGTCGCTAATAGCGCTATCCCCGCGAGAGACAATCCAGGCAAGCTCACCTCCTCCATCTTCCCCGTCCGCGGCTGGAAACGGGCAAGCGGCGGTTCGGCTATCGCGCTGCAGCTCTGCTGAACAGCCTGCCACCTCACCTGTCGCAGCTGCCTCTCGCCGTGAGTAAATGTGCAATGTTCTGAATGATTAGATAAGCAACCGCGGATATGGATTCTGAGCAGTAATCGCCACGCACGTTGTATGTGGATCGCTCTGAAATATAAATACGATGCAATACAAACAATACAATATCATCCGCACTGTATGGGCTTATCGCTGCCAACCGGCAGAGACGAGCTCACCGCTGCTCCGCCGTAAATGTCGATTATCTCACCAGGACGGTAGACTCCATTGGAATGAATCTGTTCAGCTGCATGTAGACGAATGAAGAAATAAAGAGTGAACACGCACGGTTGCGGGACCCGAACATACGCAACCCGCCCCGGAAACTCGAAGGCGAGACCAAACCCCGCCATTCCGGAAGATATCAGGGCGGGAACAGCCTCCGCCATACCGGGAATATACCAGGGTGGGAACAGCCTCCACCATTCCGGGAATAGACCAGAGCGGGAACATTCTCCGCCATTCCGGGAAAATACCACGGCGGGGGGCTACCTCCGCCAGTCCGGAAATATACCGCGGCGGGAACAGCCTCCGCCATTCCGGGAATATACCGCGGCGGGAACAGCCTCCGCCAAGCCGGGAATATACCGCGGCGGGAACAGCCTCCGCCTATCTGGGAATATACCACGGCTGGCACAGCCTCCGCCAATCCGGGAATATACCAGGGCGGGAACAACTTCCGCCATTCCGGGAATATATCAGGGCGGGAACAGCCTCCGCCATTCCGGGAATATAACAGGGCGGGAACAGCCTCCGCCATTCCGGGAATATACCAGGGCGGGAATAGCCTCCGCCATTCCGGGAATATATCAGGGCGGGAACAGCGTCCGCCATTCCGGGAAGAAACCACGGCGGGGACAGCCTCCGCCATACCGGGAATATACCAGGGCGGGAACAGCCTCCGCCATTCCGGGAATATACCAGGGCGGGAACAAGCTCTGCCATTCCGGGAATACACCAGGGCGGGAACAGCCTCCGCCATCTTGGAAATATACCGTGGAGGGAACAGCCTCCGCCATGCCGGGAATAGACCAGAGCGGGAACATCCTCCGCCATCCTGGAAAAATATCACGGCGGGGGCCACCTCCGCCGGTCCGGAAATATAACACTGCTGGCACACCCTCCGTCATTCCGGGAATATACCAGGTGAGGAGCAACCTCCGCCATTCAGGAAATATATCACGGCAGGAGATATCTCCGCCATTCCAGGAACTTACCGGATCGGGTACAGCCACCACCATAAGACAATAAAGTCTTACAAAACACGCAAGTTTGCGGCGAGATATCGACGCATCCAGCGTGCAACGCCGGGCCGCCCAGAAAGCAAAGCTATCGCCCCCCAACAGCAGCATGCTGAAACGAAAATGAAGAAAAGGCAAGGAGGGACGTAACCAACGGCATGTGGACGGAACGGAGCAGTGCCGTACCCGTTACTAGTCCGGGAACGTACGGCTAAACCCGGTAACTGCCATAATGAGAGTCGGTGCCAAACTCTTGGATGCCGGCCACCAATAAGCCGCAGAGGCGACTGCAGGTACAACATCCGCAAGCCCGGCGGGTATAACGTCAGCCAGTTCGGCGGGCACAACGTCCACCAGCCCCCGTGAGTCCACCCACCTCCGGTGACAGCAGGAAAATCATCTGCAGGCTTAAATAAAGAACACGTCGCGGGGGCTATGGCGGGTATGATGTCCGCCGGTAATTGGCCGGGAACAACTGCTGTTGGTATGGGCAGAAAGAGAGAAAGGAAGAACGTTTCTCGCCCCTCACGGTAATAACGTAATACACACCCTTACCCCATCCAAGCGAAATACGCAATCGATCCTGTACGGGAATCGAACCCGGGTCGCCCGGGTGAGAAGCGAGCGCTCTACACTTGAGCCACGACGCCCATACGATCCGTTCTTCCGGGGCGGGATGACGCTCTGCGACAACACTGGGTAGGGGAGGGGAGCGAAACAAAGAAGGGGGGACGCGGCCCTACCCAGGCCCGGGCCTGGGTCAGAGCAGCGTGCCTCGCATGTCATACACCGAATATGGGGGCAAAATGGAACTCGACGAGTATGCATGAACGGCCGGTGGCGACCGACGCCGTAGAGCGGTAAAATGGCGACAAAAAGCACGCAACCAGGGCCCAGGCGATGGTAAGGCGCGAGACAACGCGTCTAGGTCTATACTGCCATCAGCAGAGAGTATGTCCCAGATATCGGAACGTAATCACCCACCTGGATGCCAGCAATGTTTCACAAGGCGTGCTGCCGCAGTGAGACTCCAGTAGAAGACTCAAAACCAATAACTACAGCGAACAACGACTTTTTTGCTGGCTCTGCGTCGCCTGTCGCTGCGTCAACTGCGGGTGCGGCGGCGCCGCCGCGCCGGCTCAGCCGCCGCAGGTTGACAAGCGCTTAAGTTGGCGACGACCGATAAAAGTCTTTATACGCCGTTGGCGCATAAATTGCCATTTGCAGGCCATGGCCACCAATTTGGCTATCTCAACTCAAAACTAATGTTAAGGTGGGAGTGTCCCTTTAAGGGTGGCCGTTACTCACAGCTGGTGGTACAATATCGAAACGCACAGCCGTTACCCAATGCCAAGTCGCACAGTGAGTCGCACAGCCGTTACACACAGCCGGGCCCTGCTTCACCGGTGATAACAGCACGCTGCTATCACACGTGTCAAATTGGGTTTCCATGGAAACATCAACAAACCATGACGCCGTCAATCTGTGTGATGTCATCAAATATTGCTGCTAGCATCTTCACGGTCGTGCGATCAAACAAATGTATGAAACGCAATTCAACGAGACAGTAACTCTGTTCCAAACGCAGCTCACGGATTACACGAAACGTCATTAGTGTGACCTCATCACATTACGCCAGCTCGCGCAATTCGATAGTAGCGTGTTGCTATCACCGGTGAAACAGGGCCCCGGAGGCACCATGCCGAGTCACACAGCACCCACACAGAGCCGGCCGTATCACACCGAGTCGCACAGCCGTTACACACAGCCGGAGGCACCATGCCGAGTCGCACAGCACCCACACAGAGCCGGCCGTACCACACCGAGTCGCACGGCCGTTACACACAGCCGGAGGCACCATGCCGAGTCGCACAGCACCCACACAGAGCCGGCCGTACCACATCGAGTCGCACAGCCGTTACACACAGCCGGAGGCACCATGCCGAGTCGCACAGCACCCACACAGAGCCGGCCGCACCACACCGAGTCACGCAGCACCACGCTGAGTCGTAGTCGCTACACGAGCCCATAGACCCGGGAACAGGGGGGGCAGCGGGGGCACTTGCCCCCCCAACTTGGGAGCCGAGGGGGCGGCGCCCCCTCAACATTGAGGCAGCGAGAAAAGATCTTTCCTCCCTTTTCCGGACTTCTTTCCTTCTTGTTTCTTTTATGCATCTAAACATCAACACACGGCATTTTCCTTGCCATTTGAATGGTTTCTGCTGATACAATGTCGATTTGACAACATCTGCTATTGTCATCCCGCTTTGATTTGGGCCTGACCTTGGCCATAAGTTTGGCAGGCCAGATTTTATACTGTACCAGCTTGAGTCAGCTTTGAGAAATACATAACGTACAACGGTGGTAAAATCGTTGCTATAGGTATAACACAGTTTACCCGCTCCGGGTGAGATGGAGGGGTGTGGGGTAATAAGTGCACTGACGTGGCGCCCTCGGAGGGCCGGCATGGGATTAAAGCTCAGCGACACTAAGGACTTGTGTAGTTGTGTGGTGCCTTCGGTTATCGGCAGCACCCTCAGAATCACCGGCGTAGGGCCCTCAGAGCCGCCGGCAAGAGGCCTTTAGAGGCACTGGTGTGGGGCCGCCATGCAGGTGCCGGTGTGGGCGCTTAGAGGTGCTAGTGTGATTCTCTCAGAGGCGCCGATGAAGGTCCTTACAGGCGTTGCTGTGGATCCTCATAGACGCTGGTGTGGAGCCGTTACAGACGGGTGTGGGGCCTTTAGAGCTGCTGACGCGAACTCTCTACAAGCCGGCAGGGGTCTCAGTGACCGGCAAGAGGACCTTACGCCGGCAGAAGAAGTCCTGTGGGGTCCTTAGAGACCGGGCCTCATAGGCGCCGACGGGGCCCCCACAGTTGCCGTTATGGGGCCCGCAGAAAAATAAGTGTGGGACCATCACAGGCGGGAAATGCCCCTAGAACTGGCCCCTCATAGGCCGGTAAGACCTCTCAGAGGCCAGTAACGGGCTTTTGGAGATCACCGAGGTGTCCTTAAAAGCCGCAAAAGGCCCTCAGACGCCGGCGTGGGGCCCTTATGGAGATCTTAGTGTGGCTATTTAGGGCCCATGAGGTGCTCTGACGAGCCCCATGGGGCCCTTCTGAGTAGAAATATGGCCATCGTTAACTCTCAGCGGTCAAATGGCGCCGCAGGGCCCCTCGGACCCGAGGGTCCCTTTGAACCCGATGGGGGGGGGGGGGGGGGTACGTGTCCCCTTAGACTCCTAGCTACGCCACTGTTTCATATGCATCATGTCAGGCATTTTAGGCTCGCCCCCCCAACTTGAAAATCGTTCCCGGGCCCCTGCACGAGCCGGTTTACCAGCTCACCTAGCCTAGAGCTCCTTGCATGATGGCCAACTTTTCTATCGGCTCTTTTCAGCTGCCGGACCTCGTCCAGTCAGGCTAAGGGACCGAAGGGGGGTGGTGGTGGAGACGGGTGCTCGCCAACTTCCTGGACACGCGGGTGCCGAGCTGAGACTGCTTGACGGCGATGAACAGCTTGAGACGCTGTATGACTCGCGGCCCCTGATCTGCAGTTGCCCCCATCAGTAGCCTTTCTCATAAACATTTTTTACTATTACTGGTGTATAGTAGAATAGTGATTTCAAGTTTACTATTCACTGTTGCCCTCTGTCTCATAAACAATAGTGAAAAGTAATTAGTATAGACATAGACTACTACATATCTGGACTGGACACGAATTTCGGCCGACTACCATAAGGGTACTGCAGGCGGTGGATGACGGATGTTAATTGCATTTATCACGTGCTGCAATAATGAGTATTTTACTTATAGAATCTCAAACATTCCAAATTTCAAAATATTGTTTTCGTTGAGCTTTGTCGGAATTGTAGTTTATACATCTTAATACCAAGTTGGTTTAATATGGATCTTTGTAATATTTTTTTGTGATTTCCCCTTTCTGTACAATCGTTCCACAACACAATGAATTCATAACTTGTGGTTGTATACAGTATGGAAGCTGTTCAACAATGCCAAGATATTGTGCAGTTGCTAACTGTCGTTCAGGACACAAGCCGACGATATGGGACAGAGAAAACAATAAGCTTACCCCACGATTTAGCGTTTTTCGATTCCCCGGAAATAAAGCAAGCAAGAGAAAATGGGCTGAAGCCATTGGACGGAACGTGGAAAACCTGAACGGGGTCAACTGTGGCATATGCGAAAAGCATT